TTAATTTATAAGGATTGGTTTTTTATTATTATATTTTTCTTAGGATTAACTTTATTCAAGTTAATTTTTTAAAAATTATAATCTTACGTGGCGCTCTATTTTTTGTAAGAATATCATAATCATACGTAGTGCTCTAAAATATTGGGAAAAGTTCCTCTATGGGAGGGGAGTATAAAATCATACGGAGTAAAAATCATTTACTATAAAACATATGAAATACTTATAAGCACATGCATTTATTACATGAAATGTTTCAACAATCCTCTTCCTCTTATATAATAGATTCTTATGCTTATACCTTGCTAAATATGACAAACAATCAAACTTATTTTCACTTAGTATAATATACGAGTACAAAACTAAGATTGTGATAATAATGATAAACTAAGTTTTGAATCATATTATCACTTTGAACTACGAGTATTGAAGATTGCATCTATTGTAACGAAGGTAGTATGAGAATGACCTATTTTTGATACTAAGTGGAGTAATTTTTGTATTTTTTTTTTTTGAAGGGGAGCAATTTTTTGTATTTATAGTGGAGTTATTATTTACTGAAAAAATTTTAAATAAAAATAAAAAATAATTAATCTCTCCGTTTTTAAGTGTTATACTTTCATTGACACATAATTGTAGGTAAATTAACCGTCTTTATTAATATAACAGGATGTAAGATTGTGTTATTTTCACCTTAAGAAATTTAATATTCAATAAAATAAGTTTTAATAAAAAAAATTACTATTAAGTTAAAATCGATACAACAAAGATTCAGTAATAATAAGTTTTAATTCAAGACATATACGTATGTAAACGAAAAGTCCCTCGAACAGGGTCCCATAGTCCTTGCCTAGGGTTTGCTATGTTCGTTCTCCCAATCAATTTGTGACCCATTTCCTTGATTTTCTATGCAATTTTCTGAATGTGGTAAATAAGACTTGTGTTGTGCTAATTCTGAAATATGACAATCCAAAACGTATGACGGAATTTAGACCAATAAGTTGTTGTAATGTCTTATATAAAGTTATTTTGAAGACTATGGCAAATAAATTGAAACCGTTCTTGGATAGCATTATTTCAGTAAATCAGAGTGCTTTTGTCCCTAAACGATCGATTACGGATAATGCCTTAGTAGCTTTCGAAATATTCCATGCAATGAAAAAAAATGGTGATAGCATAAATGGTTCGGTTGCTTTAAAATTGGATATGCGGAAGGCATATAATAGAGTGGAATGGATCTTTCTTTAACGGATGATGTATAAGATGGGGTTTGGTGATGATTGGGTCTATAGGGTCATGGACTGTTTATCGAGTGTATCCTTTGCCTTCAAAATCAATGGAAGGATTTCTGATTCGGTTATTCCTTCTAGAGGGTTGAGGCAAGGTGACCCGATCTCTACCTATTGATTTCTCATTGTTGCAGATGCTTTTTCTACTTTGATTACGAAGGCGGCGAACGAAAAGCAGATTCATGGGATGAAAATTTGCAATGGAGCCCCCCGAATTTCACATTTTTTTTTGCAGATGATAGCATTCTGTTTGCTAAGGCTACGGTTAGAAAATGTTCACAGATAGCTGAAATTATCAGCAAGTATGAGTGAGCATCCTGGCAAATTGTTAATCTTGATAAAACCGATGTAATCTTCAGCAAGAGTGTTATTGAAGAACGGAGACAGGAAATTGTGAACATTTTGGGAGTGCACGAGGTTGAACGGCATGAAAAATATTTAGGCCTTCCTACGATCAACGGAAGATCCAAGAAAGTGATTTTTGCATTATTAAAGGAGAGAATATGGAGAAAGTTACAAGGTTGGAAGGAGAAGCTATTATCGAAGCCCGGGAAAGAGGTAATTAATGATCGAAGCGGTAACTCAAGCAATCACGACATACACGATGATCATTTTTAAAATTCCGGAGGGTTTAATCGATGAAATTCACTCTATGTTAGCTCGGTTTTGGCGGGGTTCGACGGAATCATCTAGGAAGATGCATTGTCATACTTGGGATTCTTTATGTTTTCCGAAATATCTAAGGGGTATGGGTTATAGAGACTTAAAGGTCTTTAATCGGGTTCTATCGGCGAAACATAATTTGGAGACTCCACACAAGACCAAACACTCTTACACACGCTATCCTTAAGGCAAAATATTTTAAGAATGGCTCGGTTCTTGAAGCATATCGCGGATATGACCCTAGCTATTCATGGAGAAGTCTTTGGGGCTCGAAATCACTCTTGCTTGAAGGGCTCAAATGGCGTGTGGGGAATGTGGAAAATATTCGAGTATGGCTAGATGCTTGGCTCCCTGGTAAACCCCTTACTGCTGTACCTGTACATGATATGAACTTCGATCTGGAGTTGAGAGTCTCAGAGCTGATCAATGAGGAATGTGGAGAGTGGAGAGGGGATTTATTACAATCTCTTTTTTCTGTGCAGGACTGTAACCTCATTCTCCAAATGCCTATTTCTTATGCGATGCCGGAAGATAAGCTATTTTGGTGGCTTTCGAAGAATGGGGATTATGTTAGGTTTTCAAGTAATTCTAGAACAAGAGCTACTTTAACAATTGTGGGAACAAAACCTAACTATGTATAATTGATAATGAATTGTACAAAAATCCAAATACAATTCAATGTATTACAACCAAACACCAAATTATCAAAGAATTACAGAAAATACAATGAAAAACACTAGTTGTGAAAGATAATGTACTTGCCTCTACTCCAATCATAAACAATCAACATGAACATGAGAAATCGGTGACCACTTGAGTCTCAATCCTTGATACACTGACTTAGGCGTATGAATACATTCCTAAAGAGTTTAATTTCCCCCACAATGGTGCTTGGGTTTGATCTGGAAATACTCTTTGAGATACAAAAGTCAGCCCAACGTTCTTTGCACTAAGAATCGATGAAAGATGATCAAAACACTAAGAAGGATTAATTGGAAGAGATTTCTCACAAAAGTTTGCAAGAAGTTTGTGAGGAATTGTGAAGAATACTTTGGGAGAGAAGAAGAATAATACTCTGTCCCTCGAATCTGAAAAACAAGCCTTTTATTAAAGACTTAACCGTCAGAATTTCGCGAAAACTAACAGGCGCGGGCGCTCCACCAGGAGGCGCGGGCGCGCCAACAGGTGGAGCGGGCGCTCCTCCCAAAACATGCGAAATTTCACAGGAAGGCAGAAGAGGGCGCGGTTTAGGCGCGACCCGAGCGCGGGCGCGCCAACCAGGAGGAGCGGGCGCTCCTATATTAGGAGAGGGCGCTCCTCCCAAAACCTGCGAATTTTCATACAGAAAGTCAGAGAGGGTCGCGATTTAGGCGCGACCCAAGCGCGGGCGCGCCAACTTTCTCCTTCCAAACCTTCAGATTCCAGTGAGGTCCGCGGTTTAGGCGCGACCTCAGCGCGGCCGCGCTTACCCAGCGCGGGCGCTACTCATGGTTCGCGAGCGCGCAACCATCAACACTCTAAATCTTCCAACAGATTACACGGTGAAGTCGGGCTATTGGCTCGGTAGATTGGGTCATGTTGAGGGGGTTGCTAACACTTTATCTGAGAATAAAAAGGAGGCTTGTACGCTGGTTTGGAATCTAGGCGGTCCACCTAAGCTTAGTCATTTCACATGGCAAGCGTGCAAGGGGAGTATGGCCGTGAAACAAGAGCTACATCGTCGTCATATCGCTAATGATGAGGTATGCAATTGTTGTGGTGCTGCTGTGGAATTTATTATGCATGTGTTGTTTGACTGTAATATTGCAAAGGAGGTGTGGGAACATATCGATTATTCTCAGCTTATTGAGGATGCACCATCTTTGTCTTTTTCAACGAGATTGTTATGGATTGCACAGAAAATTGAGAAGCATCAATTTTGCCAATTCCTTGCACTTGCGTGGGCTATTTGGAACTGCAGAAATAAACTAGTTCGTGAGAATGTGACACTCACTCCGGTTTATGTTGCAACCGGTTTCTCTAGGCTTGTTCTTGACTATGGCATTTACACTAAAAAAGTGTTCAATAAATCCTCAAGCCCAAACTTTATCTCGGCATCTTCTTGGACCTGCCCCGGCCCCCCTATATGGACTTGTTAAACTCAATGTGGATGCTCACATTGTTCAGGGTGTATATGTTAGTCTTGGGGTGGTTGCGAGGGATGACAGGGGTAAGATCTTACTAGCTGCAGTTCAAAGGTATGAAGGGGAGTGGGATGTGGAGATGGCTGAAGCAGCTGCAGTGAGGTTTGGTATGAATTTGGTTCGCAGGTTTGCCTTCAAGAAAATCTGGTTGGAGGGAGATGCTGCTAATGTGGTCAGCAAAGTGGAATGTCATGCAAAGGGTTACTCTCCTCTTTGGTTTCTCTATGATGATATTACTTTTCTAGCTAATGATTTTGATGCTTTTATTATCTCTCATGTTAAACGAATAGGCAACTCGGTAGCCCATTTAGTAGCGAGATGGGATACCAAAGGTAGTGCGGAACTTGTATGTATGAATTCTTTCCCCCAAAGTCTCTTAACTTTGGCAGAGCTTGATTTGCAATAATAAGCTTACTAACTCATTTCCCTCAAAAAAAAAAAAAAAAAATTTAACTTGTAAAAATCAGTATTTTTAAAAAAAAAAAAAAATCAACAACTTTTAAGAACAAATATATTAGAGATTTAGTAATAACGATTTAATTTAATTAATTTTAATTTAGCAAAAATAAGAGGAAGAAAATATGACCTCAAATATTAAAAAAAAAATTGGGAAATTCTCTTCGGTGAATTCCAACTTTTTAATTTTCTAAGTGGTAAACGTTTTGTTTTGCTTTTTTTTTTTTACTTTTTACTTCAAAAAAACCCAAAAATATTTTAGTTTTTACTTCAAAAAAATTATTTTGCTTTTTTTTTTCTTTCCAATTAAAACCATTATTCTTTAATAAGGAAAAATGGAAACTAATAATCGCATCTTACATATTCGACGTGTCACCTTCTAATTGGTCATACTCCGTATTTTTTTTAAAAATTAATAATGTAAATTAAATTATTTTTTAATTTAAATAAAAAAAATATCACCTTCCCCGACCTGCTTGAACCAGTCCCTCCATGCCCACCCCCTTCCCCGCCAGTCGGAGACATCCCCACGCGTTTCCACGCTGGCCTGACCATCCCCATCCCTTTTCCCATCAGCCTGACCAACCCCACCCCTTTCCCTGCCGGCCTGAATTAATCTCACCCCCTTTTTCAATTGAAGCGTATTCCGAAAGGCCTGAATCAAGCTCACCTCCTTGCTTTTCCTTTTCCTTGTCCACTTATTCTCCATTAGTGACGTGTGACAAAGAGTAGCAATTTTTTTTCCCCGCAAAGTTAAACTACAAAATATTCAAAAATTTACAATATCTCAAACTACCAAAGCTTAAATTACTATAGCTAATATTTTTTTTATTTTTTATTTTTTATTTTTTTTATATTAAATCACATCATCTTCTTTAACAAAACCCAAAAACCTTATATCTTTTGAAAAATCAATTTGTTTTTAAAGAAATTTACAACCACAGTAGGAGTAATTTTTTGAGGAAACAACAATACTAAATTACTAATAACATTGAAAAAATTTTCTAAAAAAAAAAAAAAAAATTGAAAATTTGATATTCAAATAGTAATATAATAATAATAATATAATAAGGCGTCTCTTAAAAAAAATTAATCTCATTTTCTCTCACTTCACTTCCCCATACTTTCCGTTCTTCCACTCTTTCTCTCTCCTCTTTCCGGGTCATCGCCGATAACTCTCCGTCGAACTTTCTTCGCTTCAATCGTCGGAAACTCGAAGGCGACGTTAGCTTCAGTTGATTCTTTCTCTCTCCTCTTTCCGATCGCGTTTCTCCGATAATTCTCCGGCGAACTCTCTTCGCTGCCGCATTTCATTTCGATCTTCGGAAAACTCGAATTTGACGTAAGTTTATGTTCTTTCTTTCTCTCTTTCTTCCTCTATTTGGCCTTCTTTCTTTATTTTGATTTTTATTGATTTTGTTTTCGACTTATGTTCTAAATTTTTGTGTATTATTCAATCAATTAATACCTCGTAATTCTTAATTTTTTTTTGTTCTATTGGGGTTTGCTGTTGTTGTTGTTGTTTATCTTGAAATTTCTATGTCAATTGAATGTGTTATGTTTTTGAAATTGCTGGTTTTAATTTGCATGCTAGGGTTTTTGCGAGATTTTTTCTTTTTTCTTGTGTTGTTATTCGTTCAATATTGTGTGTGATATCTTGAAATTTCTATGTGAATTGAATGTTTTATGTTTTTGAAATTGCTGGTTTTAATTTGCATGCTAGGGTTTTTGCGAGATTCTTTCTCTTTTCTTGTGTTGTTATTTGTTCAATATTGTGTGTGATTTTCTTGCATTGAAATGTATGTAATGAATTAAAACAAATCGAAGGTGGAGGATAAGAAGGAAAGAGATGGTCAAAATAAATGGCCGAAAGAGGGAAGGAAGTAATCGAGGTTGTTTAATAGGGAGAGTCAGATGAGAGGAGAAGGGAATAATGGCGAAATCTAGACAAATAATAAGAAAGAAAGGGCATGGCATTAGGAAAAGAGGCACTAAGGAAGGTAATTGAAGGAAATTGGAAATGGGGCAGCGAAACTGGCAAAGGGCATGTGCAAAGGCAACTGACGTATCTGTCGTGTTTGGCTTTGTTGCCTCCTATCCTTCCTCCCTTCCATTGTCACTCTAAACCCTGTCTTTGTTGTTGTTTTTTTATATCTTGAAATTTCTACGTGAGTTGAATGTGTTATGTATTTGAATTTGCTGGTTTTAATTTGCATGCTAGGGTTTTTGCGAGATTCTTTCTCTTTTTTTGTGTTGTTATTTGTGCGATTTGTGTGTAATATTGTTCATATAAATGTTGTTTGAAGGATGAATATGAGGGACTATAGGGCTGTGTTTTAGGAAGGACTGTTTGAAGGATCAATATGAGGGATTATGTGCGTTTTGTATGAGTATCGTTGATATGATTGACATGGAAATGTAAACATAGACAAGAATTTTGAAGGTTTTCTGTAGTATTTTGTATGCTAGGGTTTATGTGAGATTCTTTCTCTTTTCTTGTTTATACTTTTTGAAATGATGGTTGTATGGTTATTTGTTCGATTTGTGTGTAATTTTGTTCATATAAATGTTGTTTGAAGGATGAGTACGAGGGATTATAGGCTGTGTTTTAGGAAGGGTTGTTTGAAGGAATTGCCTTGAATGTTAGGATGACCTTTTCTCCCGCCTATAGTTTGAAGTTGTTTCTCTGATTAAGGGTTGAAGGTTATGGTTTGATTTTATTATTGGGGGATTATTTTTTGTGTCTAATTGTTGTGTTAATCAGAGTGGAAGAAAATGAGCAACCCTTTCACACCAGTATTAGAGCAATGTGGGAGCCAAATGCAGGATTCCTCGGTTAGTTCTAGTTTGATTTATTATTTTATATGATACTACTACTAATGTCTGTTACATGTATACTTTCAAACTTTTGAAGATGATATTTGATGAACACATGTGGTGTGTATTTGAAAATAACAGTACCAGAAGTCCGCAGACAGGCTCAGTGAGTTGCCAGGTGATATACTGGTTATGGTCTTGTCTCGTTTAAGGCTTAAGGAAGCAGTAAGGACTAGTGTTTTATCTCGAAAGTGGAGAAATATGTGGACGTACACAACTGGTACCTTAGATTTTCAGTATTCAGAGGAGTCATCTTATATAGAGGATTGTATGCGCCTAAACCAGAGGATTGCTAAAGAACTCGATAACAAGGGGCCACTTTCAGTCAAAAGGTCTGAGTTTATGAAATTGGTCAATCACGTCTTGAGCTTGCACCAAGGTCCGACTATTGAAGAATTTGAAGTGTTTGTCAAATCACATGATGCAATTAGTGAAGAATATATAGAAAAGTGGGTAGAGTTTGCTCTTGGAAAGAGAGTTAAAAGGCTTAAGCTGGATTTTTCACTCAATCCCCATGATTTCTCCATCACCAAGCCCTTTCTCAGCAAATTTAAATTCAATCTTTCTTCTCTGACTGTACTTTCTTTGAAATATGTAGAGGTTACAGGTAAGGTTATATGTTATGTTCTGCTCAAGTGTTCTGCTCTTGAAGAATTACATGTGGAGCGTTCTGGTTCCCTTCTAAGGCTGAAAGTCCCTGGCCCCTTACCCCAACTCAAGTGCTTGAAGATTATCCGCTGTGACTGTCTTAAGTGGATAGAGATTCATGCCATCAATATCGTGTCGTTTACTTATCATGGGCGCGACATTCCTGTATCTTTCAAGACAGCCCCACGACTAGTTAACACTTCTCTTCGCGGTCTTTATGCTTCCTATTTTGTCCAAAACATTGGGAAATACTCTAGCTACATTAAAAATGTGGAGTCACTTGTCCTGGAATTAAGGAGCTCTGAAAAATACCTGGTTAGTGTTCACATATTTCATTTTGTGTGTTTTGGACTTTTGGTTTACTGTAGTTGATTTTTTATTCCTTCTGTTGCTGCTCTTTTTGTTGAGCTTCATTTTGGTACCTTCTTCAATGGGCTACTGTAATGGCTTACTTTTGGGTTAGTGGCTTATATGGTACAAGGAGTAGTGTGAGGGAATGATGAACATATTTGCACTCTCTTCGTGTTTTTTTTTTTCTCTGCCTACTTGTTGTAGACTCTTGTTCCTTATTAAGTGGGTGGCTGTTAAGAGTTGGGTGAGTGTAAGAGATAGATAGATGGATCAAATTAAGAGAAGATGGGTGGGTTACGAGGGTAAAGTGCATGGTATACGGTAACACAAGAAATAGAATGAAGTAGAAGTTGGTACATGCGTACAATAAAAAAAAAAAAAAAAAAAAATACACCTCAAAACAAAAGGTTTTTAGAACTGATAAAATAAAAGGAGTTTGTGATTTGGGATGGGGTGTTTAGTGTTGAAACTGTTGATGGTAATGCATCTTCACTTCAAAGCACAAGCGTTTCTTCATTTTATGTTTTTGTTATTACCATAAAAAATGTGGTTATAGAAGATAATGATACGTGATTATTCAAATACAAACCTATTTTTCTTTCGGTCTTTCCATGTTAATTTATGCATAAAAGTAATCACATTGCCTCAAGTTATTCCCTTGCTTAACAATGTGCATGTGTGTCATTCCCGAGGAAATTTTATTTGGGCTGGTTGTTGATAAGTTTATTTGGAGGTGTAACGAATTGTGCATTTGTGCCCAGCTCCATCAAAGATTATTTAGTGATATATGGTTTCATTAGAATGAGTCCCCCGTAGTAAAAATTATTGGATTTTCTTCACAGATTTTATTGTCATGTGGGACTGGGATGTAGAAATTGGAAGTGGTCTCTTTACTCTTTTTCTATTTCAAAATGAGTTGAGAGTACCTTCATATGGAGTATAAATGCAATGTTCTCTATTAATTTTGGCTATACGACGCTTCTGACAATACCTTGTATCCTTAATTCTTTGAAGTCTGAGCCCACTGAAACATTGCTTTTCGAAAACAATATGTTTCTGAGTATTGCTAATCACAAGACTGCTTTTCAAATCCCATAATATTTATCTTAGTCTTTTCAAGATTCTTTGTTTAATGCAGTCATTGGATTTGAAATTTGTAGTGATGAAGCTTACATGATTATGAATGAAATCATTCATATGCCTTCCACCCCTTGATCTGAAGAGTTTACATGATGGCCTTCTGCACTTTATCTAACCATAACTTAGTAGTGATTGACTTATAGAAACCTTCCAACTTAAAGATGATACATCCAATTTAGTGATGATAAATATGGAATGGGGAACGGGCAAAGAACATCAAACCCATCTACTGATTTTAGCTCTCCATGATCTAGTATAAAATAATAAACATCAGGGAGAAAACCCATCTTAAGAGTCATTCTATTTCTCTTCCATGAAATCCTTTCGTTCTTTGGTGTACATGATAATAGCGGTGCGTTTCTCTTGTTTCACACTGATTAGGATGGTAACTTTCTAATTGCGTAATATTTGATGTACATTGCTTCAGCCCTTGTAAATATGATGATTTTCTACTTTTCTTAACCTTTAATGCAACAAATTAAGAAAGGAAAAAATTAATTTTGATAAAAGTTTTGTAGTATCATTGCTTTTGTTGTTTGTTAGAATGTGAATTGGAAGGTTAAAGTTTTATGAGACAAGGAATCGTGGATGTGCCTGATTGTTATGAAAGGAAGTTGCTGTTGTAGATGGCGTATGACTTTAATTAATGAAAATGAGTGTAGTTTGGAACTTCTAAAAAAAATAAAAATAAAAATAAATTTGCAGATTCAATCCATATCTTTTAATCAGAAAGGGAGTGTTTAAATGAGCCACCTTTAGATTCTTGAATTTGGAAGTTTGGAATTTTCAATCCTTATCTAGGAATCTTGTAGAGATATTGCAAAGTGATTAAATGTGACTTTTCACTTTAGAGCCTTGTTTATAGGAGCTACATTTCACTTCCTTAATGTTGTTTCTATTTGCAGAGTGATGAAGTGGTACCTGAACTACCTATCTTTGAAAATCTAAAAGTTTTGGAGTTGTACTTGCACATCAACAGTGTAGAGTACATTTATCACTTCTGTGCTGCTTTTCTAAAGAAATGTCCGCTGCTTACAAGACTTTCACTTTCGGTGAGTTTGTTTAAATTGAACTATTTATAATTTGCTGAGATATCTATGCTACTTTAAATGGCATTGACTCTGATGCCTATACCCCATGTTGCCCCCTGTTTACTCTGAATACTGAAAGTTGGACAATGGAATTTGAGCCCATGAGTCTATGACCTTAGATTGAACTGTTTAGACATGACCACTTATCCAGCTTATCAATTCAATGGAATGCAGATGCACAAAGAGTTTGTTGTACTCTTGACAGATGCACAAAGAGGCAGAGGTCTTTCAATTGTGGAAGAGAGAGATGATGAGACTTATCACATAGCACTGACATTACTGTTTTTTAAGATATTAGGGAGAGGAATACTGCAGATGTAAGGGGAAGGATCTTTAGTTGATGAGCATGGCTATTGTATATGTTAATCTAAATTGTTGGAAGTCTCACTATATGGGTTAGTACTTGACTACTTGTAGAGTTCTCCATGCGATTATTTGGATGGTTGTACACTTGTTACTACCTGTACTCCACGTTGCCCCCTGTTACTAGCCTAAGCTACCTGAAGCACTCACATAATAAATAATCTTCTTCAGTTATATTTGTGGTCAATTTAAATGCCATGCATCTACTAGTATTCAAGTCTACACTATGGTGATTAGGGCTAGGTTGTAGGCTTGTAGTGGCATACATAAATGTTCTATCATTCTGGTAATTTGGCTGACACAGTTTCTTTTTTCATTGTCTTTCTCAATCTCCCTCACTATCACTCTTCCCCTTCTATGAGGTGAATAGGAACATTAAATTACAATTCTTAGCATTTAGTATATGTTCATATCACAACAATACATAAGAACTGCTGCTTCATGCATTTGTGTTCAACTGCTAAGCAGCTGCCTGTTGAACACATCCACACTCGAAATGATATGTCTCGTATAAACATGCAGTTGACCATTCCTCGTTTAGTTGTTCAAACTCACAAGTTTTGGGCATTGTGGAAAGAGCTGGAACTTCATATTCATATTTACCTTTTGGGACTTTTGTTGTTGACTGTTCAATGTTGATGATGTATCCAGACAATCTGTTGGCAGGGTTTCTGGTTAAACTCTGAATGTAGAAAGTGTTTTTTCTCACATTTTCGGGTAATAGAAAACCAGTGACAGTTTTTCATCTCATTTGAACCAGGATTCTCGAAAATATGATGATGCTGGTCAATACAAGGTTTGCTGGATTAAAGGAAGCTCAGAGTGTCTTCACAGCCAACTCAAGGTGATCGAATTATTGAACTTTTGGGGGCATAGTGAGGGTGAAGCAGAAGTGATTTACTCAATACTTAGCGGTCTTCCCTCGTTGGACCGGGTGATTTTACGTCCAAACATCTTTTGGGAGTTCGAGCAACCGAATATAAACGATTTGTCTAAGAATTTGAAGATGATACATCCCAAGGCTGAGTTGATAAAGCTGTCTTAGGCCCCTTTTCTAGTTTTTACTCTTAGGTCCGTACTCTTATAAGCTCAGCTGGTTAGGTGAATGTCTCATGTTTACTTTCTGTCAATTTTGGGCTCACCAAATATATCAAATATTATGTAAATAGATGCTGACTATGACATTTAGTTGATCAAGTTGGGTTTGGGTTTCCTTGTTTTTGTTGTGTTGGGTTGGGTTCGTACTCTTTGTAGGGCTACAAAGGTCATTAGTGCAGTGTCGTACACTGGTTTTTGCTTGTAGTATGGTTGTATGAATATTCAACTTTTTATATGTACTCCGTACTATGAAACTCACAGTTTAATATTTTCTGCTTTCTATGTACTTTGCCTTTACCAATTGTCTCTTTAACTTACCGACCACATTGATGGTGGTGTTGCTATGCTTCGCCACCTATGTCAAGTTTATCTTTGAGTTAATTGCTGCCAAAAATGAAACCATCTTTGAGAAAAATCAATAATGGTGGTTGAAGTGAATTGGGAAAGGAAAGAGATCAAGGAGAGTGACAAAGATGACATATCCAAATATGCAATTAGAGACGTATACACAATGTTCACGTACATTTGTTGATTATATCAAGTCTAGTTTCAAACAACGTGAAGATTAACTCTAATGAACACATACTCTAGTGTGCATAAAAGGTATAAGCCTAACTTTCATTGGAGTTTATGTTCATTGACATTTTGATTAGAGGTTGAAAATTACTCAACATTGTATTAAAAATAGGTCAATCTTATACGGAGTATTCTCTTGTTTCACAATGAAGGCAATCTTCAATTATTTAAGTTAGTAATTAATAATCCTATGATTAAAACTATGTTGTTTAACTACACAACTCCAATTAACCATGGAAACTGACACATCGATCTATTATTGATACTAGATGAGACCCTACAATGTAAGGTCTATTTGTATCTTTTTTAAATTATATAGATATATACTTCCTCCGTTCTTTATTTACCGCATCATAGAGCTTTTGACGGTAAAATTTGATAGGGGTAACATTACAATAGCGTCCTTGTATTAGAAAAAAATGAGACCCACCACATTTGGCATATGTTGCCAGTATAGGTGATGGGACTGTGATTTGGGTTTTTTAGCACGATCCAACCCAGATCTTGCACCCATCTCAGAAAAAGATCCGACTCCTTTTGAAGGATCCGAACTCACACCAGTCACCATCTCAGAAAAAGTAGTGAGTTGTTGTGAAGAACAACCAGACCCAAACATTCCGGCAACCGTAACAGGATCGGATTTGACCTCCCCTTCCCCAACTATCGAGCCAACAACAATTAATTTCTGACCGGCTTCCTCTTCTTCAACAGATCTGAGAACTTTACCAATCGCAGCAAAGGTTTGTTGGCTGAAAATGTCGCCACCTTTGCCCGACATGTAGAACGAATTAGGCCAGGAAGCCCTTTCTTCAAAAGCTTCAACAAGAGCAACAATGAAACCCTGCTCAATTTCATCGTCAGTCGCGAATAGGGCTTTGTGTAGGGGAGATAGATCCATTCTAGGAGGAGGAAGAGAGGACAAAGAACGAGGAAGAGAGGAGAAAGAAGGAGGTAGATCCTTTCAAGAGGAGAGAGAAAGAGGAGTAGAGGAGGAAGAAAGAGGAAAGACCGACTGTACAAGGAGGAAGGGAGGAGAGAGAATGACCAAAGTGAGGAAGATGAAGAAGCTTCAAGAACTAGGGTTTCAATTGTACAAGTAAAATGATAAGTGGGCTTATGATGTTATTGTAATTCATCAGATAAAATGAAAGGTTGCTGTGATCAAAGGGGTTTAATTTGGTAGGTGGGAGAATAATAAGTGGGCTTATGATGTTATTGTAATAGGGGTAAAAAAGTAGTTGTACAAGTAAAAATTTGCCAAATAAGGAATTGATGCAATAAAAAGTAAACTTCCTAAACTAGTAAGTGAAGCGATAAAAAAAGAACGGAGGAAGTATATATATAAATAGGATCATATGAGACCAACCCCCCTTATGTGAGAACCCTATTATATGTGAGGACATATTAAGGATTAATTGCATCCAATGGCTACAATATATCCCAATCAAATGTAATTTCAAATACAATTTTCCAGCGTTTTCTCTCTCCTCCTTCATTCAAGGCGCCAATTTTCTCTCTCCTCCTTCAATTTCTCTGCTCCTTTCTTACTGCTCTCTTCCTTTGCTTTGATTCTTCATCAACTCTGCTTCTAACTTCATTGATTCTTTGTCAAGGTAATTTTCGTTGATTTTAGTTTGATTTTCATTTAGTTTGATTTTCGTTGATTAAAGTTTGTTTTTCGTTGATTAAAGTTTGATTTTCGTTGATTTTAGTTTGATTACTTAAGGTTTTTTACAATTTTTTTGCGATTTTTGGCGATTTTCGAACTTACTAGTTGATTTTAGCTTTAATTTTGCTTCATTTGTTTATTTAGGGTTCTTTATAGTGTAATTCGAACTTTTATTTATAATTTCTGAGGTTATGAATGGTTATAGAGATTGATTTTGTCAATTTTGGCACTTGCATTTCACTAATTTGTGCTTAAATTTTGATGCACACTAAGTGTTTGACAATATTCTCCAATGAATCCTATAATTTTATCAATTTCAAATGTACTTTTTAATTATCTATTTAGTGAAGGACTACCAGTTAAGATGCTTTTGGCTACATACATGTCTTCAGACAAATCAGTTGATAGATTTGATTAAGTAGCTAATTTTTGGTTGAAAGTTATGAAAGCAAGTAATGTTGATTGTAGAACAAAATACAATTGAATATTTTGATGCGGGTGTTGATTGGCTATTACTTTGTTATTTAAGCCTCAAGTTTGTTCTGGTTATTGTTTTCGATATCCCAATTAATCTAGTTTTCTTGACCGTTACCTTATACCATGATTTTTCTAAGAGACAAAGAACTTCTTGTACAGGGCTGCTTCTAACTTTGGCTGGCATTGGGGAAGGACATTCTATGAGTATTGGCTGAAGTCTTAATACTAACCTTATTGTCTCTTTTTTGAGTTTTGACTTGAAATTGATATATGCGGAACAACTCTTTGAGTTGCTTCTTATGCTGTGCTGAATTATGACTGCTAGGTCGAGCTACGGGGTGCATCAAATCTTGAACCATTGGTTCATGCACTCAAGTCCTTCATTCCACATGCTTTCATCTGTGCAAAGAGTTTTGGAGTCACCTCATCTTCAAATGCTCAATCTCCTACTGCTCCTAGCCTGTCTGAAGAACCTTATTTTGTTTGTGGAAGTCAAGCTGTCAAAGTTTCAGCAGTTCTCTTACAACCATGTGTTATGGAAGAGTCTTCTGTAAAACCTAGCGATGTGTCTGTTTTATACATTTGTGAGTTGGCGGAGATTAAAGGGAAGTTCCACAAGGAGAAGGCTGAAGCTCTTGGTCTAGATGGAGAGCCTAAATGAAGAGATCTCAAAAATGGGAAATCTGTGAAGTCAGGTCACCTAGATATTATGGTGAGTTTCAATATGAGCATTTTCCGAAAGTAGATTTCCCCATTAAATGTTTTTATATGTTAATGTTTCCGATCCACTCTATATAACATATATAACTTATGTATTTGTTGCCTTTTCAAGATTCACCCTAGTGATGTGATGGACCCTTTTATCCGAGTACCCATTGTTGAGTGCCCAACTGAATCTCATGCGGAAAAGCTATTTATCATACAATCTCTCAGTAAATATTATAAGCTTTCAGACAAGTACATGAAACTGTGAATTGTGTTGTGCATCTTACTCCTTCTACTGTTGTGAATCTGTAAATTATCAAAACTGGATGAAAAAGTTTGGTTCAGCACAACATATTATTGCTGGATATTCAACGTGAGTTGCTCTGTACTACAAGCTTCTGAATTACTCTTGTTAAATTATGTGGTTCTTGCGTATTGAGACTGTCGTATTCTGGTATCTTCAGGAAGAATGTGGCTATATCAATTCTAAAATCTGAATGTGGGTGTGAAATGGAATGGAATTGCAGGGTTTCAAGTTTGTCATTCATTGGGAGGTGTCTGATACAGTGGTTGAGCCTTACAATGCTACTTTGTCTGTTGATAAAATGCAGATGAGTGTACGGTTCTTGATAATACTTGTTGATTTAATGAATGATTACAGCAATGTTTGCTCATTTGACAAATGAGCAACTAAGTTTTTTCTCATTTGTTAAATTAGCAACTAACTATTTGCTCATTTGCTAAATGAGCAAAAAATCGATTGCTCATTTGTCAAATATTAATATTTATTCTTTACTAATTTGTCAAAAATGAGCAAATAATTTGTCAAAATGAGCAATTAATTGTTTGCTCATTTGTCAAATGTGCAATTAAATTTTGCTCATTTGTTAAATTAGCAACTAAGTATTTGCTCGTTTGACAAATGAACAACTAATTATTTGCTCATTTGACAAATGAGCAACTAGTTAGTTGCTCATTTGCTAAATGAGTAAAAATTAACACAAGGCCAGCAGACACCTGATGTCCTGTAGCCTGTAGGCTTTAGTAATACATTGATTTATGATCTGAATATTAAAAAGCTCAATCAACTTGATATTTTATTTTAATTTAAAAGCAGTATTGGGTCAATGTTTTGAATCAAATGCTCTAAACTAGATGCTCTATCATATATGAATATGATTTTGAAGACGATACTTTAATTAATAGTATTCACAGTCTGACACTTGTCAATTCTAGTCTCACAGTCTCATGAGCCACATTTTATATTAGTTCCTGCTTTTAAAGTATATAATGTGGCATGTACCTGCATAAGGTGCATATATCTGAGACTCCCCAGGGCATCCTCACCATGCTATTATTGTTTCTACTATGACATTCATTTTCTCAGTTTCCTCCTGAATAGTGGAGTGTTTAATTTCTTTGTCTAAGCTTGCTGTATAGATACTCTGTGCTGAATTGAGAAACTGGAAAAACCTCCTTTTTTGAAGTGATCATTTTCTTGCAGGAGAATTTGCAACAGCGAAGGCAGCATCGCTGCTGGCACAATTATGGTTTTGACTCACATTTCTTTCCCTTCCTATTTTTCCTCTCTTTCTGACGTTAAGTATCAAATTCATTCTTTGATTTGCATGTGTGATTATTTGATCCAGGCATTGTCTACAATGGCCACATCTAGCGTTGAAGAAGTTGCCTCAACTGACCTGGAATTCGATTTCTCCGGCTTTATGTGAGTATAAGTACAAAAGAAATTGTAATTTAGTAACTCCGGCATTTTTCCAGCTTGCTGATTTAATGAATAATTAAACAAACGTTTGCTCATTCCAGTTTTAAATACGTTAGCCTACTAGCTCAAGGGCAGAGCATCGTGCAAATGC